TGAAAATCAAATGGAAAGACTGTCACACACAAAAACAAAATAACCCTCAACCAAATCCCACTGATGACATGTGCAAGCAAATGCTGATAGGGTACAGGCGAGGTAACAAGAAAGAGAACAGCGAGTAAATGAATGAGACCTTGTGACCTTCCACAGATGTGCCCTCAGATTACTGTAATACGTATGTAAGAGCCAATGCAGTGCAAGAGCCATTGTCTTACAGAGCCTCATTGACGCTGGTGCTAGAGAGGGGCTTTAAGAATGTAGTGCCATCATCACATGGCAAGTTGACTAAAGCTTTTGTGCAAATCACCTCATATCCCTCCCTTTTTAATGGCCCAGGTGAAGCTGCTATTAGGACCAGCGGGTTAAGAGATGAATGTGTAAATGATTATTCTATGGAGTGGGGTCGCCGGCCTCACAGGTCAACTAGGCTCTTGCTTTTTCTCTCTCTCTCTCTTCTGCCTCTCTTTCTCTGTTTCTGCCTCCTCTCAGTAACACACTAGCTCACAATCTTACACCCATTTTATTCCAGTGACCCATGTTTAACTTGTGTTTCCCAACATGCCACTGACCGCTGTGGGACAGTTCTACTGTCAGGAAGAGAACAGATGTGCCACCAAACCTGCTGAATTAAGCTATGCATGATACAACTTGGCAGTCTCTGAGTACACTGCAGTCACAATTGTTTACTGCCAGCTCAACATGGTGGACAGTTTTCCCAACATAACCTCATTATTTTGTTTTATTTATGTGCCATACACACACACACACACACAAAACACTTGTACGCTCATACTGATGAACCCCATGTGTGTGACCAGACGAAGTGCAGGGATTCCCTCATGAGTCCTGATACAGCTTTAGACCACCAGTGTGCAAAATGTGCTGCTGTTTGTCCTGAGATGCCTCAAAATTTAACTTCAAAGAAAACCTCAAGTTTATGTGCAGGGATGTAGAATCGGATGTGGCTCAGCATCCGCTTGATAAACTCCCTCCAGATGAAGCCAGGTCAGGCAGTGAAAGGGGTCTAGCCAAGCTTCTGCTAGTTCTCAAAATCTTGTGGGATTCCTGAACAAGGAGAGGAGTGTGAACTCTGACCCAGCCTCTTGTTTCCTGTCAGACAAATTTGGCAGAAGGTTGGACTGAGATTAATTAAATCCCAAGTAAGAGAAAGACATTGGTCACAAATGAAAAAGATTCTCTTTTGGTGAAATGTTGCTGTCAGAACTTAATCTGTGAAAATGTTTGAAAGAAATACTCCCAACAGTCAGTTCCCTATAAAGTGCACAGAATTATGTGAGTATAGATTTAACTAATGCCTGTCAGTGACAAATTTGAGATTTGCAGTCAGATAAGATATTGCACACTTATCCTATCTACGCACAGTCTGACTTTGATGCATACAAATGAAAATCAAATGGAAAGACTGTCACACACAAAAACAAAATAACCCTCAACCAAATCCCACTGATGACATGTGCAAGCAAATGCTGATAGGGTACAGGCGAGGTAACAAGAAAGAGAACAGCGAGTAAATGAATGAGACCTTGTGACCTTCCACAGATGTGCCCTCAGATTACTGTAATACGTATGTAAGAGCCAATGCAGTGTAAGAGCCATTGTCTTACAGAGCCTCATTGACGCTGGTGCTAGAGAGGGGCTTTAAGAATGTAGTGCCATCATCACATGGCAAGTTGACTAAAGCTTTTGTGCAAATCACCTCATATCCCTCCCTTTTTAATGGCCCAGGCGAAGCTGCTATTAGGACCAGCGGGTTAAGAGATGAATGTGTAAATGATTATTCTATGGAGTGGGGTCGCCGGCCTCACAGGTCAACTAGGCTCTTGCTTTTTCTCTCTCTCTCTCTTCTGCCTCTCTTTCTCTGTTTCTGCCTCCTCTCAGTAACACACTAGCTCACAATCTTACACCCATTTTATTCCAGTGACCCATGTTTAACTTGTGTTTCCCAACATGCCACTGACCGCTGTGGGACAGTTCTACTGTCAGGAAGAGAACAGATGTGCCACCAAACCTGCTGAATTAAGCTATGCATGATACAACTTGGCAGTCTCTGAGTACACTGCAGTCACAATTGTTTACTGCCAGCTCAACATGGTGGACAGTTTTCCCAACATAACCTCATTATTTTGTTTTATTTATGTGCCATTTTGGCATTTTGATTTCAACCATTAAGTCTTAAATCCAATGCTTTTCAATGTAACAACACAGGTACATGGTTTGCAGCAAATATTTGTGATAAAAACCGATTACTCCCTTCACAAATCAAATGAAAATATCTCATCTTTGTTATTTTAAAATAAAAGAGAAGTAACTCACATCCAAGCTAAAGCAGTATGAAATGTGCATATTTGCAGAAAAATGCCATCTTCATATATTAACTCTGGACTAGGTTCGTGGAATCAGGTCCAGACATTGTCCAGAGTTTCCCTTTCACATGTGTAGTACACAACAGGAAATAGTTCCTGATGTGTTCTCACCTACCGGAAATACTTTGTTTCATATATGGGAGGGGCTGTGCCTGGGCAGAGTATGCAGGAAGTGGAATATGATGCAGCATGTTGCCAGTTTGCAATTTTGTCATAAACACTCGAGTCTCTTGCCATTTCACGAATTTAGATTCTGGTGCCAGCTCTTAACAACGGAGGTTTGTGAATCTCGTCATGTCTTCAGTTAAAAATGTCCATCAGTGTCTTCATTGTAAATGTCTATTTTTCTTCACCATTGGATGTTTGTACTCTTATGGTTTCACGCCAGTCACATGACAGAACATCATCACTATGCTCACTGGCTTGGTGTGAATACTCCTGGCTATAAGATGCTGTATTCTTGCATTCTGGGTCAACTGACTTGGACATGTTAGGTATTTTTAGCCAGATAGATATTGGATACAGACATATTTGTTCTCACATTCAAGATTCAAGAGTCAAAAGATTCAAAGTGTTTGTCATATGCACAGTATGGAAGCGTGTTTCCCTGTACATTGAAATTCTTACTTTGCCATCCACAGATCCTCTGGGTAATGTCTAGATAATTTCTGGGTTCCAGTGTATGTCTGAAAAGGGCTAAACATATCTGGTTGGAAAAAGAAATACAAGTAATGCAGCCTTGGTGTAAGTTCCATTTATAATTGTAATTGTAAAAATGTGCATCTTATACATGTATGGGCTTAGCCAATACATACTGTAGTTCTGATTTTAAATTGTCTACGCTAAAGACTAAACTTGAGTTTCCGAATTAACAAGGGAATGAAATGTAACAATTATAGAACTCGATATGCACCTTAGACCACATGGCCAAATTTCTTGTTTTCCACCCCAAGAAATGACCCTCTGGTTATAAGCCTGAGCTCACTCCAAATACTGTAGGTCCACACTGCATAAAGGTAGAGTATTTCAAACGTACAGAAGATCAGATGACACTGGCAGTGTTGAGATCCTACTAGTTTTTGCCTCCATGAGCCAAAAGTGTTATTGTTTTTGATGCAATTTTTAACTTTCCTCCAACTTTGTTTGCATTGGTTCTACTACCATCAGTTCCCATTACTCTGGTAACCAATAACAATGAATTCCAACAACGATAAGTTCTTAGAGAGAGAAATTCAAAGTGGAATGTTGAAAGCCCGAAAGTCTTCTTGGCCTTTGCTCCTACCTTGGAGATCTCACTCTATTCATCCATCACTCTCCCATTGGTGTCCATCCATTTCCCCAGCAGGAGGCCCAGGGTGGGGGCTCAGCAGGTTTCATTGACTCAGCGGAGGGTAGATGGTAGAGACCATCCACCCACCTCTGCAGCTCTTTGTTAAGCGGCAGTTTAGCAGGGGCCTCCATTACACCAGTCAATGTGTTCATTTGTCAGCTTGCACTCCAGGAGTAAGACATTCCATGGTAAATTGTTGCTCCCTTTTTCCCAGAGGAACATTTTCCTACACATCCATGTACCAAGACTAATTGGAGACTGTGTGCTATCATTGGGAGGGCTCAGGCGGATGCAGCAAAAGCGATAAAATAAAGAAGCGCTGTGGAGTGCTTTGGTTGGCCGGGGATTCTGTTTTTCATGACTGGGGGAGGTTGGCTGGTGGGGACAGAGTTCAGTCTCATCGGACCTTTATTGCAGTAGGGAAAAGGCTTATTTACTGTAAACTGTTTATAGAGCTCTGTCACTATCTCTGGACATGCAGAATAAACACAGGAACACACTCCCACTCCTAATGTCATGTAAACACTAGAAACATGCACAGACTGACAAATACACCCTGAAAAAGACACTACACTCTGGATGGCTCTTACGCATGCATGCATTCACACACACAATGTACTTGTGAACATAATGACAATAAATATACTTTTGCCCACACCCTTGTTTCCTAACACACGCACATTCACAAGACAATACACAGCTATAAATACAGACTTGTACTTTAAAAAAGGAAAAAAAATTAAGTCACATGCAAACACACAACTCTTTGTCTCAATAATGGTCTGAGTGATGTTAATTTTATTGGCTTCCCCAGTTGTTATACAAATTGAATAAACTCTTCATACCCTTTCTTAGTTTTAACAATCAGAACTTTTTCTTGTTCTTCTGTGTCATTTTTACACAGTTGGATTCAGACCTACATGTTTCTGCCCATATTACCCAATCCCTTTAAAGTTAAGGGAGAAAAAAACATGACAGATGTCTGAAGAAAAAAACTAAGTCTGTGGACATGCTGCATCTGCCAGATATATGGTATCACACTTTGCAGAGCAGCTTGAGCAGATGAATCATCAAGCCATCCCGCAGGTTTTCAAATCCATCTTAGCACACAGACATTCTGTTTCCTGCCTCATATGTGTTGTGCACTTAAACAGACATGTCAGAAAGTATGTAATGTGAAAAGTGTATTTGCTCAAGTGTGCTAGTTTAATAATGGTTTTTCCGTCTATCTCTGTATCCTCTGACCCCCTTCACCCTCCCCCACTCCCTCCCTCATGAAGACCCTACCTCTTTGGGGCGGGATGTTTTGCCATTAAAACTCCATGGTGAGTTTTTCTTCTCCCCTCCTTGGCTCTTACGGCAGCATGCAACTGTAAACTCCACCACAGCACACTGGCTCCTTTACCTCTCATTTGTCTCCTGGTATATTTTCAACACATTCTGCATAGTTTGTGCAGTCATTCCTCAGGGGGGAAAAAATCCCATAGAGGAGTGTTTCTTATTTCCTCATCTTTTTTGACTTTGTTTTGTTTTTTGCAAACCATTACATTTTTCTGTTTATGTGTATTTTTGAGCTTTTATAGCACCATGATTCAATCCACTTCAGCACTTAAGGGAACAGAGGATTTCTGTTGGACTTTACTGTATATGGTGTATGCATCCTACTAATTATGATTTCACATTGTAATTAATGCCTGGCCTTCATATAGTAAAGTTTGCAAACATAAAAAACTGCATGCTGTGTATAATGGGTGGTGCTGTAGGGCTTTAAGGAAATGCAATGACACTTCTTGTCAGTTGCCATGTGGTGTCTTTGACCCACCAACATCTCTGTCTTCTGTCTTTTTGTTTTTTGCTATGTTTAGACCCTCCATGGTGTTTTTCTAAGAATAACACCTTTGTGTATAACACATATTGTTCAAAATTTCCTTTATCCTACTTTGGTTACATTTTTTTCCTGTCAGTTGTGTATTTGTACACGGTGTTGTTCCTTTTCATATTCTGGTATTGTAAACAATGTCTTGTGTGGGTACAGCAATGTGAATGATGTTGCTTTTGCTTCCAAAATATGTTTGCAGACAACAAAGATAGACCAGAGAGGAAAAAAAGGTTTTCTGTTTATTTAATGCACAGCTATTTAGTATATTTATAGTAACAATTGACCAAATGACTTTGTATAATATCAAAGAGGTTGCTTAAAGTAAAAAACCTACATCTGCATTTCCCCAGACAACAAATTAGTTTTCAACAAGTCCTCCAGTCTATACGACCCATATGGTTGGTTGTCTAATTCTTCTCATACGATCCATAGGGGTGGCTCATTAAATAGTGCTCTACAGTAGCACTATTCAATCTATTCAACAATTCTGCCAACAACATACATTGCACTATACCAAGCTTTATGGACTTTGGTCAGCATGGAAATAGCCTTAAACATGACAGCTAGCTAGCAGCAAGCTACTGGTACTCTGTTGTCTTGTAAACTGTCATAAATATGTTATGATTATGAAATCTTCACAGTTTCATTGTGTTTTGCTACACAAACTACTTACTTAGGTTTAGGCACACAAACTACTTAGTTAGGTTTAGGGGGAAACTATTTAGATTCAGGAATAAAAAATGTTGTTACATATGGGAACAAAACCTGCTGACAAACACAAGCCACGCACACAGGAATTGAACCCAGCTCTCCTTAGGGAGCGGTCCAGTGTTTTGTGTACCTAGCCATCCACCACAGCCTGCTCCTAACACACACTTTGTGCCTCTATATACTATCTCACATTACTTACTCCTTTTCTTGTTGCATAATTACTATGGTCATTATATGTCACCAAACTATAACATGTAACAGTTTGTCATACTAACCTGCTAACACAAATCATGTGTACTGTCATATTTTACAGGAAGACAATTTCTTATTTTTCAGGCCATTATTTTGATTTTCACCTCCATTTTCAGCCACAGAAGGTAGCCATTTTCAGCTAAATGAATAAGTAAATAACACATGAACTGCATGTGTTGTGCTCAGTGATGGTTATTATGATTATTGATGACTATTATTATGAAATTATGATATGTCTATTAGATTGACCTACAGAAATCCCTTTGCTGCATACAGCTACAGTATATACCTTTTTCCCCAGATGTTTTTGTTGTAGAAATCTGCTCCAGAACCTGTCTTAATGTAGAGATGTGCTGTTGAAGCCTCCTGTGACTCAGTCTCATTGAACAGCACTGGCAGCAGTGCAGAGACAATAGCTTCTAAAAGGTTTTGAGTGGGATTGACATCTCTAACCAGTCAGAGATTTTCAGTTATTTCTGCTTGATCAGTAAGTTTTGTTGCATTCTCATAAAAGACCTGCAGGGCTGGGCAGAGTGTGGTGGAGCATAGCAGATTATAGTAGAGCACAGTGGAGCAGGGGGAGGGAGTGCTGGGCAGAGCAGAGTGGATTGATTTGGAGTTTCATGCTAGTGCATGCTACCTTAAGTTACATACTGTATTTTAATCTTTATCGAGAAAAATATGTACTGCTCTTGGCAACCGTCACCACAGCTTCCATTTTGACAAAAAATTATATAGACAAGATAGAGATATAATTTGCTACTGATTTATTAGAGCTAAATGACAACCCCTCTCAAATTGAGAACAGTGATAGAGAACACTCTCAGGCTGAATAATGAAGTTAATCAAAAAAGCTATCTTAATTTCAGGCTAATAATCAGGAAATTTACTTTTACTTACAATTTTGAGTGAAACGTCATTGTTTATAATGCTCAGCACTGATAATCAAATGTTAAAGGGTACAGCATCTTCCTCTTCAAGGAAATTTGTCTTGTTGGGGGCTGAAGCCAAGTCTCTTGTCAACGTGGCCTTGTGAAATCAGATGCTTACAAGCTTTTAAAAGAAGCCCCATTATGACAGAGTCACTTATGGAGTCATGATTGAGTGGTTCATTGAAGTGAACTTTTCCCTTCCCAGCTCCCTGCTCTCCAGCTCCTCCCTGTTGAGTCAATTCACTTTATATAATGAATAGCATGTGGTCCCTTCCCCAACTCTTGGGTTTCATCTTTTGTTGTGGGCAGTCATTCTTTTTAATTGAAGCTTTTTTCTTTCTTTCTGTCTTCATCCAGCTCCTGCTTAATCTAGGCCCTTAGTGATTTCAGAGTGTATGTTTTTCAAAGGTCCACATCATTAGCATTGGAATCTTGATCTTCACAATAACTGCTTTGCCTTCAAATTTGAGCTAGTTAAACCTATATTGTTTCTCTGTGGTGTATGCCTTGAAATGTGAGCTATGACAGCCCATTCACCAATTTGTGCTTCAGTGCTGAACATGCCCTCTCAAAGCTCAGTAGTGCCCAGAGTCTAGGTCCACATTTTATAAACAGAACCATGCTTTCTTTCCTTTTTCCAGATACCAGAGACTATGTCAATGAATTTCAATTTCATGTTACGAGGATGTTTTAAAATCAAAGTGATCAAATATTTACCTACACCTATAGTATTCTTATTATATCTTATATTATTATTTATATTCATTTTTTTTTTGCACAGTCTTAACTCCAAATACTATTTAATAGATTCCCATGCTGACTGGCTCATAAATGCAAGGAATAGGGACAGGTTAAAAAATGTAAAAAAAAGGGTTTATCTCCCAGAATATTTGTTGACTGTCCCCAGTGGATGTCATTACCGTAGTGCTATGTGTTCAACAGAGCTCCAACAGGGCCTCTTTTTCAATGGCTGTTGTAAAATAATAAATGTGATGATGAAGGATGTGTCCTCCACATGACTGCCTCTCTCTCTCATGCTATCTTTCTTTCCCTTTTTGGTCTTAATACCAACTCTTTTACTGATATGAATTAAGCATGTGGCTCAGAACCAGTGCAGAAACAGCAGTGTAGCTCTTTGTCACTGGCTGGCCATGTGAAGTGAGCTCTACCATTTGTTTACTGCAAGGGCCCTGAAAATAAATGGAAGCTGCCAGTGGACTTCCAGCTTCCCTCAGAGGCGCCTCACGTTAGCCCTGGACATAGTAATGTGAAGGGACTATGATGGTTGATGTTGCAGATTGAATTATACCCCTGCGGAAAAGCTATTAGCTCAGTCAGGAGTCCTCATTTGTTAAATTAAAAGTGGAAATGACATGAGAGTAGCCTTTTCAGTGAATTAAAGTTCCAAAGAAAATGGATTCCACTCCCTGCTAAAAGTCAATAGTACAAAAGAAAATCTTGTGGAGAGAGAAGAAAGAAAAAAAAAACAATTGTTTAGTGGCATTCATCTCCTCCTGCTCCCAATTCCCTCTTAATATATTTATGTTTCATAGTTGATATTGGGTTATGTATTTTTAACTATTTGCCAATGCACTTCTCCCATTTGTCCTCTCCAAAAACTGGTTGCTGTCCTCCATATCACAAGCAGAATTGGGCCGTTTCTGCTGGATTTATGGCTCTCTGTTGTAAGGGCAGAAACCTCAACACTTCTAAGCCATTTCAAGTGAGATCAAGAGTAAAATGATGATATAAAACACAGATGAATAAACTTTAGTGGTCACTGTACCCAGAGGAGATGAATGAGAGCCAAGCTGACACACACACACACACACATTGGGTGAGGCTGCAGGTTTTGCCCCTAGAGTGAGGCAGTGAGATCATATACATTCACACTATACTTTCACTGTAGTACCCAGGCACCATCTGTCTGTGCAGTCAGTCCTCTCTGTCTTTTTATGTGTGACAGAGAGAGAGAAGCATCCGGCAGCTGTATTTACACCTGTATGAGCAGATTCCTGTTGGCAGGGTGGTAGAGGAACACACCAGCTGTTTAAATTACCTACCAGGCTGTCTATATGGGCACCATGATACACACATACACACACACACACACACACAAAACACTTGTACGCTCATACTGATGAACCCCATGTGTGTGACCAGACGAAGTGCAGGGATTCCCTCATGAGTCCTGATACAGCTTTAGACCACCAGTGTGCAAAATGTGCTGCTGTTTGTCCTGAGATGCCTCAAAATTTAACTTCAAAGAAAACCTCAAGTTTATGTGCAGGGATGTAGAATCGGATGTGGCTCAGCATCCGCTTGATAACCTCCCTCCAGATGAAGCCAGGTCAGGCAGTGAAAGGGGTCTAGCCAAGCTTCTGCTAGTTCTCAAAATCTTGTGGGATTCCTGAACAAGGAGAGGAGTGTGAACTCTGACCCAGCCTCTTGTTTCCTGTCAGACAAATTTGGCAGAAGGTTGGACTGAGATTAATTAAATCCCAAGTAAGAGAAAGACATTGGTCACAAATGAAAAAGATTCTCTTTTGGT